AAGATTTCTTAATATGGAAATCTGACCGTGCTTTATCCAGTCATATATAATGCTATTAATACATTTTAATTAATTTAATTTAATTAAATGAAACCAGTATAGTTACCAGTTGAGTAGATATTTCATCCGATTGGTAGTCTCAGGAATTTATTTGGACGTGTCTCTGCATGGAGGTTTTGGTTAGAAAGTCAGTAAATTCTAAGTGTTAGAGTTTTAGGAGTAGAGTGTTATTCTCAGATGTTGTCCGAGTTGGAATCCCCAAACTTCCAATTCCTCTCTCCTCTCCGTTGCATATCTTGCATGTGCCTCCTCTCGTATCTTTCTTTGTATCTCTATCTTCCCTTTGTCTTAACTTTTAAAGGGCCAGACTCTCTGTACGTCATCAGTTGATAACCCAATAGAAGCACTAGAGGTGTGGTTATCTTCCAGATCGCAAATTAGTTATTTGGTCTGTAGAGGGCAGTCTTGTCCCACTAAACATACCTATCCAGGAAAGAGTTAACTTTTCCTGGTGGCTATTTTGACGTCATTTTGCGTTATCTTTATAGCGCCATAATTAAAATTTCAAAGGGTTTCTTAAATTTTGTCCAGACTTAGCGTCTGCAATTCCTGCCATAATTTCTGATATGACAGATCATGAACTAAGTTTACCCTTTTCCATACAATGGTACCTTATATATATAGACAGTTAAATATTAAATTATTTAATCTTCTCTGTCACAATTGTCTGGGTTTAGATTTGATTATATTCCATTAGCATTTTAGACAGTCTATCCAACCCCCTTCCTTATCACTTGTTTGTATATACTATGCATTCCTCAGATCTGGGAAAGTGGTTAGCTTACAGATAGAAATATAGTGTCTTTTTGTTAACTTGAAATAACAAAATGGAGTCTGGTCTGTTCAGAGTGACTCAGAATATACACTTTTAGTTTCTATCATAGCACAAGATGTCTGCCGATATAAATACCCTGACACCCCCTAACGGCCCCACCGGCGGTCTCTGAGTGCATCTGGCTGCAATACGATACAAATGCTTGTAACCTCAACACAACATTATACTTCATTATGCGTCCTAATATATCAGTACACATCATGTTGCCCTTGATAACCATCAGAGCTCCACTCCCCTGCCACACCTGGTTTGACAGCGTGGCCCGCTGACGGGAGAATATGATGCCTGCCAAGTATGTGGAAACATTAACATTAAAGACCCTGTACGGTAAGCTAAAGGGAAATATCAACAGCATACGACCTGTCCCCAGCTGCCTGTTGATCATCATGGGCTTTAAGGTGGACAGCCATTACCCATAGATCGGTTTGTTGTGGGTCCATCTTGCACTTAATAGTTAGAGTCAATGAACAGTGCCTGTAGGATAGTGATGTTTGCCAGTTCCCAATGTCCGTGCCTTAGTGTCCTCGTGAAAGGGGGACCTCAGTCCGATAGTCAGTGTGTGTTTCAGTGGATCTTCCAGGCAGCCCGCATATCGTGAAGGTGCAATAGGAGTCTGACTGTGTCCCCATTAGTCTTATGTGCCCTAATTACTTTGGCTTTGCGATGGTAGCCCCCTCTGTGAAGATGTAGAGTTCTGGTCGTCTTTCCTCTTCTTCGTCGGGGTGTTCCACCTTTGTCTCTGCGGGAGCCTGGGTGCCTCAGGTGCCGGTTGTGGAGTGAACCAGTCCATGACTTATGTGTCAGGCAGGTCTAAGGCCTTCAGGAATAGTGCCACATCTTGATGGGTGGCAATGGAGCGTGTGGCGCCTTTGTGTGATACTATCAGCACAAAGGGGAACCCCCATCTATATTTCACCTGCCGGGTCCTCAGGAGCTCTGTCACCGGTTTCAGCTCCCTCCTAGCCGGAGCGTGAGCCAGAACAAGTCTGGGTATATTTGTATTTCATGCCCGTGGAATACGATGGGTGTTTCAGTGGGCTCCCCCAGCAGCAGATTGAACAACTGCTGGCGCACAGGTCCTTGTCCTGTGTTTCTGGTAGGCCACGAACCCTCAGGTTGTTACGGCGCCCTTTATTATCGAGGTCGTCCATGGATCTCTGGTGAGTGGTGAGTATTTGAGACTGTTTATCCAGGGAGTTTGTTAAATGCATGATTTGGGAGTTGGTCACATGCCTTTCTTCTTCCAGCTCCGTGACTCTGCACCCCCCCTAACTTTGTCTGAAAGGCAGTTTCTAGCTTACCTAGCATTGCCGCCAGGTCTGCCTTTGAGGGTAGTTGTTTTAACATGTCCCTTGTGTCAGGGTCCTGCTTTGTGCATGAGCCATCCGAAGGCGTCGTGCTTGAGGGAGCCGAGTCAGTAGGCCTCATGGCTGCTGCCATTTTGCCCTCTCCGGCATCTTCCTTGTGGCGCCCCATGTCTCTAAAGAACTTGGTGAGGGAACCAGATTTGCCCGCAGGTGTTTTCCCCGAGGTGGATTGAGATGGGTTCTGCCTTTTGAGGTTTTCTCCGATTGCACTGGATTGCCTATTGAGTCTTAGGGAGCTCAGCTAGTGTGCTGCCATTCAGTTCCCCGGCTGGCCACGCCCTTCTCCCATTTTCTTTATATTTTATTCATATTAAAATTTGTTTTATAGCTAAATATTTGATATTAAATGAAAGCCCTGTTTCCCCTGAATAAAATTATATATAATAAGTGTGGGTGCATTTAATACGAAAGAGGTGAATTACGGTTGGACAGACATATAGCGCAAATGCCAGGTTTTGTTTACGTTTTGTTTTGATCACAACATCTACATTTGGCTCAGTGCTTAAGGGGTTAAAGGTTGCCACTAGAGGAATGGGCACTGCAAATTGAAAACAGTGCAAAAAAGTTAAAAACTATGTTTTTAACTGTGGCAGAGAAGGGGCTGCACATATGCCTGAAAATAACAACTAAAATAATCTATTTTCTGTTGTGTTACTATGGGAATGCCCCTTAAAGGAACACTATAGGGTCAGGAACACATACGTGTATTCCTGACCCCATAGTGTTAAGTTAAAACCACCATCTAGCCCCCCTTGCCCTCCTAAATATAGCAGAATCTTACTTTTATTCTAGTTTGCTGCTGCTGGCTCTGCCCCTGATCTGCATGATTGGTTGACATCAAACAAAGTGGTTGTGTTCTGAGTCAATCTGAGCTTTTTAAGAAAGCAGATAAGGGGCAGAGCCAGGACAAGTCAAACACGGTCCTGGCCAATCAGCATCTCCTCACAGAGATGTATTGAATCAGTGCATCTCTATAAGGAAAGTTCAGTATCTCCATGCAGAGGGTGGAGACACTGAATGCTGTGCAGCACTGCCCCAGGAAGCACCTCTGTCAGCCATCTGAGGAGTGGTCAATGGAGGTATCCCTAGGCCAGTCATAGGCAACCTTCAGCACTCCAGATATTTTCGACTACACCTCCCATGGTCCTTCACCAGCATTATGAGTGTAAGAGCATTATGGGGGATGTAGTCCACAACATCTGGAGTGCCGAAGGTTGCCTATCCCTGCCCTAGGCTAAAATGTAAACACTGCATTTTTCTGAAAAAAGACAGTGTTTACTACAAAAAGCCTGAAGGGAATGTTTATACTCACCAGAACAAATAAAATAAGCTGTTGTTATTCTGGTGACTATAGTGTATCTTTAACTCATATTATGTACCTATTCTTTTTTGTTTACCATTCCTTGTTGAATTGTACTGTACTTACAATGGATGTTATACAGTAATGATATAATTATTTTTTTTAATTTGTTTTAAAAACTTCAATAAAATCTGAATTGCAAAAAAAAAAAAAAAGAGAGAGAGGTTAGACAGTTCCCTATTACCTACCGCTGAGCAGTGCCAAGTAGGTAAGTATAAAACAAACTTACTTTTATAACACTGACAGCTCTACTGTCACAAGCTTATGATATTAGGGGGGGGGCATGTTTACGCACACTTAAGTGCATGCTAGGAAATGTTGAATAACTAAACACATGAGCATTCTGGAATTCCTTCCAAGTGCCATACAGGCACATGCACCTTCACGCCACTTGCACATAAGCGAGAATAAACTTAAATACATGGTATACTCTGGCTTTACCAGGAAATACAGGCATGCAAAATAAAATCCAGAATTTAAAATAATAATAAATAGCACAATCCATACTTAACCTTTATGTGAACAAAAATATGACCCCGGGGGAGGCGGGGGTGTATAAGGTAGAGGGTGGTGGAACACAAAATAGTATATAGAGGATACATCCTGAGAAACGGGATGAAATGGTAGTGGGAATCTAGGAATACAAAAACTACGTATGGTGGAGAATATGGGGCTAATGAAATAGCTCCAGGAGGTAGAAAGCTTACAAGAAGATGGAAGTTATGTCTCCCCTCAGGCTCAGGGGTATCTGTAAATGAAAGAAATCTTCCCAACAAGATGGACCATTAAGGATGAAAAACTTTTAACTAGATGTTTGTGTCAAAATCCCACAAACAACAGTTCCCCTATCAGAGGCTACTTAAGCTATGGTATTAGTAAACCATATAGAACGAAATTCAAGCAGCATCATATTTATACACATTACTGTACACTCTTCATGTGCAGATTACATGTACACTAATAACAGTTTTATTGCTCGTCCTCTGACAGGTAAATGGGTCATAGCTGGCATGCGCAGTGATCCTGTGACCCAATATGGGTGCCGCCATATGCATTTTGTAATGCCATTTACTGCTGCCCCCATTCCACTTAATTGTATCCTGAACCATGTATGTAAAGCGCACATTGTGAGATTCACTGTACGTCTAACGAGGTTTTAGTAATCCCGGCAGTGAGGATGTCAATGTAAATAATATTGCTCCTCCCTGCCAGTGCAATTAGTGGTGTCACTCATGATGTATGCAGCATGTGGGTGTATAGGGATGGAATTCTAAATATAAGTCTGGAATGCTGCCGCTCGTTACCATTGGTTTCAGAACTCAGGGCTCCGTGCTCCATTTAGTAGCACAGTACTGAGCAAGCAATCACACAGGACCACCTTAACATCCAGCGAGCCAGGCAGAGAGGGCTGGGCTGGATGGGGTGGGATTTCCTGTGTTAGCAGGTCAGCTGTTCTCCCTCTCTCTCTCTGTCTGTCTTTTTCTCCCCCCCTCCCCATTCACTTACTCACTCACTCTCTCCCTCCTATGTGGATCGTGCGGTCAGTGCCCCTCTCTCCCCCCTGGTGCCTCTCTCTTGGGATCTGATTAGTGATGTGTAACCTACAGAATGCCCAGCAGCACTGGAAAAAGGTTTAAACCAACAAAATACATCCCTGTCTCCACTGCAGCTGCCTTATTAGTAGGATCAACCACTTTGTTTTTTGTTTTCACGTAAGTACCTTTTAGAAATATATCTGTATAGCCATATATACACCGAACTTTGGGGATTGGGTGGGTTCCCTCTGTGAAAGGGGGAGGTGGTGGTAGATGTCGGGCTTGGCATTGCATGGTATCACAAGGCTAGCCCCACAGCTTTAAAGGCCATGGGCCTGCATTTAGGATCTCTCTCTGCCTTTCTCTGTAGTTTTATACAGTGTAGCTGGGATGGGGGCAAACTGATGTGCTTGCTACAATGTATCATGCAACGCCAGGCTCTTTTAATTTCCTCTTATTCTGTGTGATTTCTGTTGGTTTCATGCATGGATCATTAACACCTTAATTAGGCCACACTCCGTTAAGAAAATGACTGCATTTTATTTTTAATAAGCACCTTTTGTTCCTTCAGGGTGTTTAAAGGCCTGTGTTAAAGGGAGGAAGACATGAGAGCTTCTTGTAAAGGCATACATTTATATGCCATTTATTTTTATTGTGCCTGGTTTGTATGCCAGATTTTCTGCTTGGCACAGCTTGTCCCCCCTCCCCCCCTCGAATGTGTTTTCCATTATTAGCCTGGATGGATGTGTTGATTTGGACAGATAGCTGTTTAAAAAGATGCTGGTCCCTTTTTAAAAAAAATTATTTATTTATTTGTGTAATCACCCCCAGGCTGTCCTAGATTATCATTACTGTTCTTTCTAGTGTTTATGTTGGGTGTCTCTGGGTGGCAGAAAGCAAAGTGGTGTTGGTTTAATGGTTCTTTGGGTCACTTACTATAGCTTGGCTTGTACTGTATTGTCTGGGGCTCATATGTTATTGTTACTCTTGCTTACAATAGTTGTTTGTCCAGTATTGTTAAAAGGGTATTATTGGCATGGATAAGCGCCAGGGCACTTTATCTGTTTGTTGTACTGTATACGGTCTGCTCTTCCTGTGTTTGTCTATAGAAAACCTCTGTGGACAATAATTGCTTGCTAGAGCATAACTTGATACTTTACCTATTTAATCTATTTTGCGTTTCTACTGTGTGGATTATAATGAGAGATACACAACTCTGTGACTGTCAGTGTGCACTTGAGATGGGAGGTATGTAGCCTTGCCATCCATAATCTTCACACAAGGATACCTCCACAATTGTAAGTTCGTTTGAGCAGGGTCCCTATCACCCCATGTTCCTCCATAAATGCTAATGTTTTCTTTTATCTCTGTACAGCTCTGTCTCCTAAATTGATGCAATATAAATAATTGTGGCATCATTAGTATACTAGATGCTAGGATCTCCAAAGGCTTGTCTCATGGCTGCTCCTTTCCTTTGGAAAAGCCTGCCTACCCCTGTCAGACTCTCCCCTAGTCTTCAATCCTTTAAGAAGTCCCTCAAAACCCATCTTTTCAGGAGTGCTTATTGCCTCCAAGAGTAACTTCTATCTCTCAAACCTTCCTCTTGCTTTCTCCTAAAAGGCCACACTCCACTCTCTACTACAGTTCTGTTACTTTCCCACAATTGTCTATTTGCTGTCTCCCTCAATACCCTTCTTATGTTTTTATACCCCACCTCCTCTAGACTGTAAGCTTGTTTGAGTAGGGTCCTCAATTACCTATTGTTATTGTTACATTTTGTTATTGTCTCATGTGGTAAATTCCCCTCTTATTGTAAAGCGCTGCGGAATAAGCTGGCGTCGTATAAATAATAACCAATAATAAGAGATGTGCTTCTAATCTGCATTAAGATTAACTTCTGTCATGTAAATTTTTGGAGTTGAGGAATTTCTAGCAAACTGTTGGATACTTTTACTGTTTTCAAGAGGCACTGTGAATATCGAGTAATTTACAGGGGTAACTGTACAACATAGTTTACCATCACCACACTACTGGCTAGTAAAATCAACATCTAGCTGGGATTATTAACACTTTTTTTTTGTAGCGTTCACAAGTTCTGCAGCTCTTTATTCTATATGTACTTGGGGTTCTTCTTCCTGTTCCTGTTTATGCGCTGTGTACACAGCATCTTGGGATATCATAGATTTACATCGTATCCCAAGATGCTATGTACATAAGCTGTAATATAATTTATATAGAAGATTAAACCCATACATTAGCGACTTTAATTTATTTAAAAAGGGGGGAAAAAAAAGTCCCATGTGATGGTTTCTCTTTCACATTACAACTTAGAGCTCTGTGCCATTGACAGAGCTCTAAAGTTAATTGTGTTGCAGTGATGGTACTTTGACATGCTCCCATCAGCATACCTCCTAACACTGAAAATCTGGCAGGAAGCCTGCAAGGCAGTAGGCTTAGATCAGTGATACACTGTGGGTCAGTGATGACATTTGATCTGGCTTGAAACGGGTTGGTTAGTGTGCCTGTGCACCAAGCTGATTGAGAGCTGTGCTGGTAAGTCCCCAAAGACGGCCTATGCACTGGTCACTTCTGAAGCCGAAAAACCATGAATTTGTATTGTTTGGCACAAGCACATTTAATACTGTTCTTATCAGGGTGATTTTCTTCATAGAAATGTGACGCTAGAGAACAAAATTATAATTTAGTCTAAAAAATTGCTTAATACATATTTAGAATTTTATCACTTAACCGATAGTGACCTGACCACCTATGTAGCATGGACGACCGGTTTTACATAATGCAGCTTTACATGTATGGTTTAAGCTGAAATGAATTATTTTGTTGACTTTTTGCCTGCTTCACAGGAAGTGCCCAAGACTATAACTGTATTGCAAAATTGTTTGGCCTTATATTTTGAAAAGCCTGCTGTTTCAATTCTGGTCTTCCAGGGTAAAGAAGTGTGTGTATATTTATAACTGAGTCCTCTATAGCACTTTCTTAGGTGTTTCCACACTTAAATGCTAACTTTAAATAATTTGTGTTTCATGGCTCCTTGTAAAGAGTCAATTGACTGATGGTAAAATTATCTGGCTCACCATAAAAGAAAGTGCAAATAGCATTATGTAGCTATTACATGAAATCTGAAGTCATTAAATGCTGGTTCCATTTTGAGGTCTATGAATTTGTGGACTGTTGACATTATTCTTGAATGGCATGCTTAGAAAGTACAGTATGTGTTTATAGATGGAATATGGAGGAGGCAGGTGGCATTTTGCACAACATTTTTTTGATACTATTCTATTAGTGTATCGATTGTAAATCCTGGATACACTATTCATTTGGAATGCTGTACTCTCATTTTCTGCTCCAAGTCATACCTGCTTAGTGATGTGTTGCTACATACACTAGAGCAAACTTTTTCCCTTGAATGAAACTTGGCTGAGAGGTTGCTTCCTGGTTGATGCTATGGGCTCTGGAGGAAGATCTGAGCCTAGAGATCAGCTATAAAACATGCTATAGGGCAGCAAAAGTGTTTTAAATCCTCCCTGCACTGTTGTGTGTGTGTTTTAGACATAACTTTGGAATATAGGATATTCTACTGCAAATTCATGTGTGCACAACAGTATTCTAACGCTCTCATTAATTTCTTTAATGTTTGCTATGGTTTTAGCGATTTGCAATAACTTATAGGGCATTATTTTGTCTGATGGGATCCATATATTTCAATTAAGTGTACTTCAACTGCTGACTATTTGGTACCTCTAGTTTTGCATTTATTAAAATTTGTTTTTGAAAAATGAAATACTATATATTTATATTTGCGTATGGGTTTTCTTTTATTTTTGTGACCTGTTTAAAAGCTAAATTAAATTTTGGGACTAATTATTGACTAGTCCTTCACTGTGTTCTTCATTACATGAGGGAACATTTAAATTTGAAACGATTTGTTCTTAAGATGTATGTGTGGATATATGCAATGTGTAAATTGGTACACAGACTATTCACCTAATAATAACGGAGTATGGAGACATGTATCCAATGAGGAGCAGGGAAGGGGAAACTTGAGGACTTTACAATGGAAAACAATAGAGCAATTTGGTGTCTGAGGAAGCCCACATGAGTTTTTTTTTTTTTCTTATCAAAGAGCTCACAATTTTACAAGTAAGAGTTTTAAATCTCATGGATTACACAATTGCGCACCGCAGAGAACACACTAGGCATAACTGGAGTTCTCCCCTCTCCATCTACGGCTGGGAGTTTGCGGCTCTGGTACAAGTGAGTGGATTCCACTTTTTGCGAAAGGTTTTCTATTTATTTTTACATGTTTAAGATGTTTCTGCACTATATTAGAGGAAATATCTTCAGTCTTTTTTTATAGTTGGTGCCTTTAATACAATTTCTGAAATTTGGTTTCAGAAATCTTATTTTACACAACTACAACAATCAACTGATGTGCAAATATTTCTGTCTCTTGCACTTCCCAATATTTTTTTTTTTCTTCTCTCCAGGCACTTCAACATCATTAGCAAGCAGTGTAGAAGTGGGTTTTCTAAACTGAAACCCAAACATAGTTGCCTTGAGGCATGCACTTATTTCAAATTTGAGAAGGCAATAGGGCCTGAAGCCCCCTAAACATTTAATATAATAACTATTGAATACAGAAACTGTCTCTGTGTCAAATTTAAAGGACCACTATAGTCACCCAGACCACTTCAGCTCAATGAAGTGGTCTGGGTGCCAGGTCCCCCAGGTTTTAACCCTGCAGCTGTAAACATAGCAGTTTCACAGAAACTATGTTTACATTGCAGGGTTAATCCAGCCTCTAGAGGCGCTTCTGCGACGCTCAGTGCGAAAATTGCATTGAGCACGCAGAACATCCATAGGAAAGCATTGACAAATGCTTTCCTATGGGCGTGTCTTTGTTTTTTTTTTTTTTTTATCCGCACGCGCGGCTCTGGCTGCGCATTCGGCTCCATTCGGGAGCTGACGTCGGAGGGGGAGGAGAGGTCACCAGCTCCAAGGGAGCCCGACGCTGGATATAGGGAAGTGGCTGAAGGGGTTTTAACCCCTTCAGCCCAGCGGGAAGGGGGCCCTGAGGGTGGTGGGACCCTAAGAATTTATATAGTGTCAGGAAAACGAGTTTATTTTCCTGACACTATAGTGATCCTTTAACTTTCAA